CAGAACTAGATGTTCCATGGATTGCCAAGTGAAGACCCCGTTGACCACCTTGATGAGTTTGATAGGCTTTGTGATTTGACAAAGATCAATGGTGTCTCTGAAGATGCCATCAAGCTGAGACTCTTTCCTATGTCTCTAGCTGACAAAGCTCACCAATGGGAGAAGAGCTTGCCCATGGCACAATCACCACTTGGGATGAATGCAAGAAGGCATTTCTTGCTAAGTTTTTCTCAACCGGTCGCACAACCAAGCTTAGAGGAGAGATCTCCAGCTTCATCCAGCGAAACAATGAGACATTCGCAGAGGCTTGGGAGAGGTTCAAAGGCTACACAAGTCAGTGCCCACACCATGGATTCAACAATGAATCCCTACTCTCTACTCTTTATAGAGGATGCTTGCCTAGGTATAGGGAGATGCTAGACACAGCTAGCAATGGGAACTTCCTCAACCAGGATGTAGATGATGGCTGGCAGCTTGTGGAGAACATAGCTAACTCAAATGGAAGCTATGGAGAAGAGTATGATAGCACCAATCGGAGCTCGACCCACCACTCGATCGAGTCAGACGAAAAGTTGAGAAAAGATGTTAAGGCATTGAATGAGAAGTTGGATAAGCTGATACTAGCTCAGTCCACAATGAAGAAAGTCAACTTTGTGTCTGCTGAGGAGATGGAACCAGTCCAAGAAGGGGAGGATACACAATTCGCTGAGGTGTGCTACATGAGCAATGGGCAAGGAGGTTACAACAAAGGATACTATAACTACAAGTCCAACCCTGCCATGTCAAACCGCAACACTGATGTTGCTAAGCCTCAGGACCAAGTATATCCTCAACAACAAGCAGCTCGATCGAGTCAGGTGCCACAATATGGGTATGGACAAAAGAACAATTACCAAGGACCACAAGGCACTTTCCCTGGACAACAAATGAATATCCCACCAGGCTTCCCCCACCAACCGCCCCAGCCTGCACCTTCACAAGAGAATGAGCTCAAAGCAATGTGAGAACCCCAAGGAACAGTGCAAGGTCATCTTCACTCAAGAAGGACTTGTTGAAGAAGAGGATCAAGAAAGGGTCATTGAAGATTTTTGTTTACTGCTGAATGATGAAGAGATTGTTGCTGCTGAGGCTCCTGGAGTCCAGATTGATCAACCAGAAGTGCATGCACCTACTGTGGCCATTCACACTTCACCAGTTGAGCTCGCACGACAAGCTCGATCGGCAGCTCGATCGAGTCCAACTCTAGCTCGATCGAGTCCGACCTCTTCTGTCCGACAGCCTGTTTTGCTTGATCCTTATCAACCGGTTGCCGCTTCCTCGTCTCGCCTACTTAGTCAAGGTCACAAGGAAGTGATTCACAAGTTCAGAAGAGATCTCAGTGGGATTGGAATTGAGTTGCCTACTATGGATAGCATGAGTGAGGCATTTGATCAAATGCAAATGGTCAAGGATGTTCTAGCCAACAGTGATAAAGTTTCAGAGGTCCTACAAGAGTCTACTCATCAGTTCAACCTGCTTACTTCACCCACCTTCCTACCAAAGGTCAAGGATCAAGGGAAATTCACTCTCCCTTGCACACTTGGGCATCTTGAGATTGACAATGCCTTAGTGGATTCTGGAGCAAGCATCAATCTGATCTCTCTCTCCATGGCAGAGAAGCTAGGCATAGCTGGAGCCTTGCAGCGCCCTACTACTTCAATCATGTTTGGAGATGCAACTTCTAAGTCTCCTCTTGGAGTGTTCAAGAACTATCACTTGAAAATTGGAGAATGCATCATCCAAACTGATCTCACTGTGATGGAAATGGAAGAAGAGAAGGATTTGCCTTGTTATTGGGAACCCCTTTCCTTAGTACAGTTGGCGCTTCAATAGACTTTCACAAGCAAGAAGTGATCCTTCACAAGGTGAATAGTTTGGTGTCATATCGCTTGCAGCCTAGAGGTTCAGACTTTTGTGCCACAATTGACAGTACCACTCTCAGTTCTAAGAGTCATGGAGCTACAAAGGTTGTGAAGGAAAGGGTTGACAAGGAACCAAGAGTTGGGAAGGATAAGGATGAGAGAGGACCAAGGATTGAGAAGCCACGTCTTGAGAGGGCTAGAGTTGAGAAACCACGTCTGATAGGCCAAGAGCTGATAGACTTGTTCAAGCCCCTTGTGTGCTTGATGAAGAGAGCCTTCAAGCTTTGTTTGATGAGCCACTAGGAAGGGCTCTAAAAGAAGGGGAGGATGTAGCCTCTAAGGCAAGACCAGGATAAAAGAAAAGATCCACCAGCTCAGGCCCCTTCAGTCAAGCCATCTCAGCTCACAATGACTTTGTTCCCCACCAAGTTTGAAAATGGGAAGATTGAGTACAAGATAAGGTACAAGGGGAGATCAAGGCCATTCTCTAGAGCCAAGGCCTTGGTGACTTCAGAACAATCCAGGGACCCAACCAAGCTAAAGGAGCTTCTGTCTCAAGTCCTCACTATCACCCTTGATGGTGGGACTAGCTCAACCAATGCCTAAGAAGGTAAAGGTCAAGCTATGGGACCTTAAACAAGCTCACTTGGGAGGAAGTCCCATGTTTATCCTTGTACATACTCTATTTATGCAATTTCTATCTATCTTTATGTTTTAACCTTTGAATAAGTTAAGTTTAGGTGTCAAAGGAGCCAGCTCGACCGACAGCTCGATCGAGCTAGAAACCAGGGCAACTCGATCGAGCTACACAACTCGACCGAGGTAAGTTTTTGAATTTCAAATTCATAACCGTTTTCTTGGTCAAGGGAGTGGGTCCCACAAGCTGATTTTGGTCCCCCACTACCCTAATTTGATCAGAGAATCCCTAGCTTCTTGTTCCCTCTTTATTTCATCTTTTAATCTCAACCACACATCTCAAACACTCCCTCTTCCCCATAACTCGATCGAATCCACCTCTCTCTCTCCCACAATCTTAAAATTTCTGAAATCATCCTCTCTCTCTTCACCACAAGAAAATTTTCGAATTCCTCTCTTTCTCTCTTAAGTTTTTGCGATTTCCTCTTGTTCTTCACATTTGTTTGGGTTCTAGTTACTGTTCTTCAATTCATCATTCAAGCAAGGTATGAACCCTAAAACCCTTGATTACCCCATCTCGATTTCCATTATTGCTTGTTTTCTCTTTGATTTTTGATTGCATGTGTCCCTTGTGGACTTGTTCTTGAGTAATTGCCCTCATATTTCGCCTCTGCTGTATATCTTGTTAATTTGTTTCACCTCACCTCTGTTTTGCCTTTAAACTTGTTGCATGTGCTTGAAATTGAATTTGAGTTTGGTATTGGTTAAGATGCTTATGCTTCACTAGAATTGCTCATTGTTCCATTTACTAGTTGTTCTTGGTTCAATTTGATTGATTAGCATCCTTTCCAGCTCTTAATTTGAATTAGGTTTGGTTATACTCTGTTTTCACCCAGCTCGATCGAGTTTGTCACTCGAGTTTTTTGACTCGATCGAGCTGAGTGTCGAGTTGACCAAACCGATCATTACAACTCTAATTCTTTGTAATCTTTGATGCATTTCAGGTACTTTAGTGAAGAAACAGAGTAACAAGGATGACAAACAGTGAGGGAAGTCGCGCTTCACAAGGAGAATGGTTGAGGGTGAATCAAGCAATGCAAGAGAAAAAGGCTTAAGATGCAAGCCGATTTGGAGAGGATGATCAAGAGGATGGAAGGTCTGATGCAGAGGAGTATGTCTACTCTGAGGACAGTCTGAGAGTGAGAGATTGAGGGAAGAAAGGAGAACCAAGAAGAGGAATGACCCTATAGTAGTGAGAGTGAGCAAGGGGAGTTTGAGATTGGAGTGAACCTTGTTCAAGAGGGGGAAATGGCTCTCCAAATGAGAAGGAGTGAGGAAACTGAGAGTGAAGAGGAAGGAGAAGAGGTGAACCAATTGGTTGATGAAGATGACAAGAGGGGAACCAAGATGAGCCAATGGAAGAGGCTGAGGCAGAGCAAGAGGAGGATGAGCTCCCCATGTACCAAGAGCACTACAATGCTCTCTTCTCCATGGACTTTGTGGAGACCAAGTACCCACATGATGACACATGAGAGGCCTTGGATCTTTGAGGATGTGGAGTTGGTGCTCAAGAACATGCAATTGGAAGTTCTTCTCTCACCGCATGGAGTCTTACAAGGAGTTCACTTGTGAGTTTTTGGCTCAATGAGCATCACAGTTTGATGAGCTCGATCGAGCTGAGTTGGACCAAGGCTGGGGGTACACGTTCTTGGCAAAGGGAGAGAAGAAGATGGTGACCTTTAGGCAGCTTGAGATACTGTTTGGGTTCACTATGGAGAAGGAACCTATGGAACATCAAGGAAAAGAACTCCAAAGAGTATGGGCTACAATCGCTGAAGAGGGGTACTCTTCCTCAAGGTCCAAGGCTGCCCAGATCAGAGTCCTGTGCTTAGATATGTCACAAGGCTCTTGCAACACCTTCTTTGCAAGGAAAGCCACTGGACAATCAATGAGGGAGAAGTGAAGCTCCTTGACATGGGAATCAAGCCCATCATCTCACGCACAAGGATGGGAAGAAGATCAGAGGAGATAGGGCACACGCAGGGAACTCATGCCTCTCCTTGAGCAGCTCCACCTACAAGATCACAGCTTACAACACTAGGCACCAAAGAGGAAGAAAGCTTAGTGTTGGAGGGGTCATCACACCAATCTTTGTGCAGCAGGAGTCAAGTGGACAAGAGAAGGTCTACTCCACCAGGTTGGATGGACATCAAGTTTTGCAAGACCAACCTCTCATTGAGCACAAGGAGTTGGATGGGAGATTCCAATTCAAGTTCACCCATCCATTGGCTGGACCTCCAAGCTTCTTCTGCCCAACCCTGAGCTCACCACAGTCTAGGAGGTGAGAACATTGATTTCAGACCCCCTGTGTACACTTTGTTGGGCATGAAGCGATTTGCAAGAAGAAGAGATCGAGCTCGATCGAGCTGAGGATCGAGCTGAGATCAAGCTGAAGATCAGTGCAGGAAAGCGCTGATTTGGGTGAGCCTGAGTGCTATTACTTTGAGGAGTATGAGGCTCCAAGGATGAACCCCTCTGTTGTGGCTGCCACAAGAGGATTGGACTTCTCCAAAAGTTCAACAAATGGCAAGGGAAAGCCATTGAGAAGATGCAAAAGTCCATGGACAAGATGGTGAGCAAGATCAAAAGTTTGGAGAAGAAGGTTTCTGGTTCTTCAAGCAAGAAGAAGAAGTCCAAGGCCCCCACATTCCCTAGGAGTAGATCTCCTCACCACTCCAAGGAGGCTCCCTGCCCAAGAGCCTCACAGAGCCTCTTCTTTCGAGCCAAGGGAAGGAGAAGACAACACGCAGAGAAGGAGGAAGACTTCCAAGGCCAGACGCTCCAGCTCGACCACCGGACTCGATCGAGTCCAAACAGAGGAAACTCAACTCGATCGAGCTGACGGTCGAGCTGACCAGGAGGAGCCCCAGTTCGAGGATCCGGGATTTGAATACGATCCCATGCCTTACCAGGAGCCTCTCCCGGAGTAGATGGAACCCCTATGGACAGTACGAGCTACCAATGCTCCACCAAGGCCAAGGAAGCCACACACTTTGAGGAAGAGGAAGAGGAGCCGCAAGCTCGATCGAGTGAGCCACAAGAGGCAACCCCAGTTGCATGGAGCTCCTGATGGCCGTCTACCATCTCCAGACCACGACCTAGTCTCCCAGTTCTTTGGGGGACACTGAGGTATCCAAACACCAACCCTTGTATATACCATTTCATATTTTCTTGCATTTGTTCTTGTTTTTTCTTGGTTTTGCCCTCTTGAATCTTTCACTAAATTTTTCTCACACAAGGGACTGTGTGATTTAAGTTTGGGGGAGGGTTCAAGAGATGATTTAACCTTGTTTTCTTTGTTCTTAGTTTTTCATTTATCTTTTGCATAGAAAAACCAAAAAAATCATAAAATTTTCAAAAAATCCAAAAATATTTTCATCTTTTTGCATTCATATTTGTTAGACTTGTTTAGGATTGCATTTTTCACTTGCATTGTTGATTTGACTTTGAAAACTTGTCCATCTTTTGCGATTTCTTGAGTGCCCTGTTTTTAGATTCTTTTGTGCATTAGGGTGAGATTGATTGAGCAGCAAGAACCATGTTTATCTTGATCATATCACTGCATGCACATCTCATTCAACCATTGCTGTGATTTGATGCATTTCACTTTAACCCAAGGAAAAAGAGTTTGGTTAAGTCCAGGGAGTTGGCAGTGTTAAAAGGGTCTAGTAAAGGTTTGGGAAGTTAAAAAAGGAAAGTAAAAAGGGTTCTAAGTAGAATGAAAAGAAGGCAAAGCCTCAAGTGTCAAAAAGGAAAGAAAAGTTCCCTAAGTGTTTAGAAAATCCCAAACCGCTAGATGTTACCTCAAGAAGCCTCTCCCTAGGAAGTTCTTAAAAGAAAAGTGAGCAAAGCTCCTCAGTTTCAAAGGCGAAATGCCAAAAAGGGTAGTTAGGATTTTGTTCTAAAAAGCTCTAAGTGTTGAACTCGATCGAGTTAGGATTAGGCGGCTCGAGCTGCTGTTCTTGCATCATCTTTGGTTCTAACACTTAGCCTTCTGCCAAAGCAAAGCCACTTTCTTGAGAGATCCCTGTTACTAAACCACCATACAAAAGAGACCCTCTTTGTCTCTTAACCCATAAACCCTTGAAACCAAATGAGTTGATTGATCTTGCATGTTTTTGGTTCACTGTTTTTGCTTAATGAATGTTAAAGGGATTTGCTGATTTGAATGCATTGTTTGAGTGACTGTGAAGTGGGATTGATGTTGATAAGCATGGTTAAATCTTAATGAATATCTCTCACCTTGTTGCATTCTAGAATCTCTAAGTTGGACATTTAGCAAATCGCTTTTGAGGACATGTTTTTAAGTGTTGAATCAGCTTATTTTCAAACCTCATCTCTTTCTTGTTCTATTTGTTTGCTTGAGGGCAAGCAAAGTTCAAGTTTGGGGGTGTTGATGTACTTGCATTTTACATAGTTTTAGCACATCTTTTATGCATCTTTTGCATAGTTTTAGCTTCCATTTGCATCATATCTTGTTCCTTTTCTCTTCTTATGCATTCATGTTAGTTTTAGGTTGCATTTGCATACATATGCATGTTTGGTCCTTTGAAATAGGTCTTTTGGAGCATTCTGGAGCATATGGGACAAGGAGCATGGAGGGACTTGGCACATGGAAGCAGCTCAACTGGATACGCAAAGGAAGAAGGGAGAAGCCATCTTGAAGACCAGCTCGACCGTCCACTCGACCAACCGGTCGAGTTCCTCAACTCGACCGGCCAAGCTTCAACTCGATCGAGCTGGAAGTCAAAGTCAAACCCGAAAAATGTTGCTTCCCCCTTGACTTCCCTTTGACCCTAAACCTAATCCTCTTGTATTTAAAGGCTCTAAGCCACGAAAAAACCACCAAGCTTTAGATTACTTTTGTTTTAGTTTCTTTTAATTTATTGTCTTTTACTTTTTAGAGATCTAATCCCATCTTTGTGTTCTTGAAGCTCTTGCTTCTTGAATCTTAGATCCTGGATAATCTCTCTTTGTATTTGCACTTGCTTATTTCAATAAAAGTTGTTTAATTTCATCTCCTCTTTCTTATGATGTCTCTTTTATTGCATTTGCTTGTGTTTACATTCATGTGTAGTGAGTAGTTACCCATTAGGGTTTGAGATGGGATAGATTAGAGGTTTCATATGCTTAATCCTTCTAGCTTATGGTCTTAATCTAGATTCTCTCTCTTTTGGATAGATCTTAAGGCTACATGACCACTACCCCTGGCTTGTAAGTCCTTAGGCGACTCCCCACACGAAGTGATGGCATTCGCTGGAAAAGATCCACTAAGAGCTCCAATATCTCTTGCTCTAGACAATAGAGGTCTAAGGGGTTGGATGGATTAGTTTGGGCAATGATCCTATGGCCTCCAAGGTTTGATTCTCACTGGCTAACCCCCTGTTTCTGAGATCATTCCTTGGTTGATAGCCTCACCTTGGGAAAGGGTTGGCTAGGCATTGAGAAGCCCAATATCAAGAGAAGCCTTGATACAAGGAGTTTTAAGAGCTAGATTGATTAAGTGTAGATTCCTTTGATTGCAAAACCCTGTCTTGAACCCTAATTCTCTCTTATCTTGTTAAAGTCGTCACCTTTAGCTTTGTTTGTCTCAACTCGACCCTAAACTCGATCGAGCTGGTACTTTGTTCCACTCGACTCGAGTCTTGGTCGAGCTGCTACTTCACTGCTTTATTTACTTTTATTGCACTGCATTTTCATTTTTTTAGGTTGTTAGTGTTACTTCAAATCTATAACTGCTTGCTTGACTTTCGGTTGTTTCATATTCTCAAAGAGTGACAAGTTCCCATTTTGGCAAAGTGTGTCCAATCAGCAAAGGCAGCTTGTTTCCTCTTTGAGTTCTCCTTGAAGTCATGTGCTGTCTCATTGGGAAGTCCAAAGAGTTGGCATAGAGCTGAGATGGAGATGCGCCCATTGGCATCGCCTATCTTGAAGAGTAGGAGTCCATCACCAGCTGGTTGGTCTCCATTGTGGTTGGGAAAGGCAAGAGCTACTGTGGAGAGGAACTCCTTGGTGAGTTGTGAGTACTCACTACATTCTAGCTTGAAGAGCTTGCTCAAGCCTAGCTTCCTTATGTACCATGTGACATCATCTCTTATCTTGAGAAGATCAAGGGTTTGGGTGTCCATCTTCACACATGGCTCGATGTTCACCTTCTCCATTGCCTTCTTGCACTTTCTTGGGTCTTGGATTTGTTCTCCAACAAAGGTTACAAGTGCCCAATCATCTTCTCCTCTTGTTGGACTCTCCACATGTTCTTGATTGCATCAATGGAATGTGGTGAAGTTGGTATTGCTGCTCTTGCATTGGAGCTACTACTCCCTAGCTTGATTTGTTTCTTTGGTGGTTCCATGAATGGGTTCTTCTTCTTCTTCATACTCTCATTTCCTTTTGTCTTTGCCATTGTGTACCTACAAGAGCAAATTCTTGGGAAGAAATATGAGTTTGTGATTAATGCAAAAGAAGAATAAGCTAATTGAGTTGTAATAATGATATGGAATAATGGAACAACTCAAGGCTTAATCATGAATCAAAGAGACAAAATAGAAATTTCACTTTTTCAAAGTTAATTTTCGGATTTTACTGTTCATCCCAAGATTATGGTGCTTAAAATCAAAATTTTCAGCAAATCAAGAGAAATTGAGTTTCTAATCCAAGTAATCACTAGATAAACTAATGAATTGAAGTATGCCTAAGCAATTTCACCTTTGAATAAGGGGTTTGGAATGCCCAATAAGTTTTGTGAAAAACTATTCAATTGTGAAATTAAACTTCAAATTAACTCTAAACCACCTAGGTTCCACCTAGCTAAGTTCATTACAAGACTATAAGGATGCTAATTTCAAGTTTAGACAAGAGTTTAGACCAAACATGAAACTTATTGAAATTTTCGATCTTGCATAAACATAGGATTAGAGTTAGAAGACATACCTTGTGTGTTGAAAAGTGAATAAGGGTTGCAAGAGCAAGTAAATTCCAATTTAGAGTTATGAACAGTAAAAGTTTTGAAATCAAAACTCTTAGAGTTCCTCTAATGGAGTTTAGGGTTTTGGAGAAGAAAGAGAGGTTCTTGTGTTTTCAAGGGAAAGGTAAAGTAAATAAGCTAAGATCCTATAATTTTCCTTTTCAAATTCGAATTTTGATTGAAAACCGGTTTAAGTTGGTTTAGGATTGGTTAAAACCGGTTTGAATTAATGAAAAGGGGACTTACCTTGGCCGAGAAAATTTTGGGCCGATGGCCGATGGATTTTGTCGCGGTCGAGCGATTTGGTCGGCCAAATTCGAATGGACGAGAATTTCGGCCGAGGCCGAGCGTTTGTTTCCCGGATCGACCGGCACGGTCGGTCCGTTCCGATACGAAAATTCGGCCGATCGCGGCCTGTTCTTCCCGGTTCGTGCGTGCCGCGCGAACGGTTTTCGCGCGATAAATAATCCGGCCGAGCATAGCCGTTCCTTCCCGGCTCGACCGTGGTCGGCCCGAATGGAAATTGCTCGGCCAAAATTCACTTTTGCGCGTCCGCGGCCAATGTTTGGCGCGGATTGTGTTTTCACACCTTTTTCTCCTTCTATCCTATCTTAAAACAAAGAAAACACAAAAGCAAAACAAAAACTAAGAAAATTAAAGAAAGAAAAGTAAAAGTACCTCATGGGTTGCCTCCCATGCAGCGCTTGTTTTAAGTCTTTAGCTTGACTGTAAGGCTTGGCACTCAGGAGAAGATGGAGACAAGAGGCATCTTTGATCCTCCAAGTCTTTTCTCCTTGCAATGAGTATCTGGTGGGTGATTCACAGCTGGATAGACAATCTCTCCATGAATGTCCCTTGGCACTACTGCCTTAGGAAAAAGCTTTAGAGTTCTTGTCACTTTCTCCTTGAATCCTTCTAGATTCTCATCAATAAGCTCCTTTGGGAATAGAAGCTTCATGTTGCGGCCAGACCTAGGTTTTCTAACCTTCTTCTTGGCTTGGCCTCATCTTCAATCTTGGTTGATCCCTTGGGCGGTTTTGGTGTAGGGGCCTTAGTCTTACTCCTTGCTTGTTTGGCAAGCTGCTTGGGCTTAGGAATGGGATCTTCCTTGATTGTTTCTTCAGTTTCTCCTTCTTGGGGTGGCTTCAAAGTAACTTTCTCCTCTTGGACCATGTCAACAAAAGAGTTCTTTGTTGAACACATAGGGAAGAACATACCCTTGTTCACCTTGTTGAAAGAGATTCTTTGATTGGGGAAATCAAATATGGCACCCACAGTAGACAGGAAAGGGGTTCCAAATATGAGAGGTCTATGGCTACTCTCTCTCATTTCCACAATCTGGAAATCGGTAGGGATAGAGCAATTTCCAATCTGCACCATCACATTAGGCACAAAGCCATAGGGGGTTTGTGAGAATGAATCAGCATAGTTGATGGAGATGGATGATGGCTGTATCTTGGTGAGGCCTATCTTGTCAGCTATCCTCTTAGACATGATGTTCACATTGGCTCCTGTGTCACACAAAGATTGCTCAAGAATGTTACCTTTGATGATACAAGGCACAACAAACTTTCCTGAGTTATCAGTCTTGGGGATAATCTTTGGGAAGAGTCTTCTCTTTCTAGCTCGATTGGACTCTCTCTCTGGGTAATCTCTTCAGGCCAAATCATGCAATCAACAGTAGGTTTTGAAAGCATCCATTCTGGAACTTGGTCTTCAAATCTTTCTTCTATGGCGGCTGAGTTGCAAAAGGACTTCTTGGATTCAGCTTCCTGTCTCTTAACAGCTTCCATAGTTTGAGTGACTTGAGTCTCTAGTTTCTTCACATGAGTGGCAACAGCATCATACTTGGTGTTGAGATTGCTGAACAAAGTGTCCATCTTCTCATACATCTCTTTGTTGTTTCTCTTCTGGCCATCCATGATCTGTTGGAGGATTCCTTCAAATCTCCCACCTTGTTGGTTTGGAGGAGCTTGATTTGGTGAAGAAGCATATGGCTCCTTGGGCGGATATGATGATCTCTGCTCATATCCTTGCCTTGGCTGGAATTGACTTCCTTGAGATTGGTAAGGAGGTCTTTGTTGTTGTGGATACCTTGGAGGATACACTTGGTCTTGAGGATTCTCCACATTGGGGTTTCTATAAGACATGTTGGGGTTTGGGCGATAGCTTGGATTGTATCCCTTGTTCCCATAGTTTCCAATGTAGTTCACATCTTCTTCATTGGCTTCATTAGAGAAATCTCCCATGCATTCTCTTGATGGGTCTTCATTAGCATCACTCATCCCTTCTATTGCATTGATATGCTTGAGCTGTCCCTTAAGAACTTGAGCCATTGATGTACTTGCATTTTACATGGTTTTAGCCCTTCTTTTATGCATCTTTTGCATAGTTTCATTCACCCAAGCATCATTTCTTGATGTTTTCCCTTCTTTTGCATACATAGTAGTTTTAGGCTTGCATTTGCATACATGTGCACGTTTGATGTCTTAATCAGGTCATTTGGAGCTAATTGGAACATTGCCTATCACTGGAGACTAGTTGAGGAAGGAAAGACTCTGTCTGCCCCATGTACGGACCCGCACTCGGTCGAGCTAGTGAGATGCGTCCGAAGTATCGTATCAAATGAAGGGTTTCCACTCCGATTCAGCCTCTGACTTCTTCTTGGAAGTTGTGGATAATTGAGTTAGCTTTCGTCTGGAGGTGGTTTCATGTCATTCGGACCAGCGGTTCAGAAGATACGACGATATTGGTTGGACTCGACCCACCAGCTCGACCGGCCAGTTTCCAACTCGATCGAGCTGCTTTTCCAGGAGTCAAAGTCAAACCCGAAAAATGTTGCTTCCCTTTGACTCCCCTTTGACCCTAAACCTAGTTTGCTTTACTATAAATGGCATTGAGCCACGAATTAAACATAGCTTTTGGCTCAACCTTTTAATTAATCTTGTATTTGCATTTCCTTTTTACTTTTTAGCCTCTCTTTGTGTTCTTGAGCTCTTGCTCATAGAACCCTAGATCTAGGCCTTGTTATTGTGTTTTTGCACTTTGCTATTTCAATAAAAGTTGTTTATCTTTATCTCCTCTATCTTTTGATGTCTCCTTTATTGCATTTGGTTGTTTATTTCATCATGTGTAGTGAGTAGTTTCTCTTTAGGGTTTAAGATGGGATAGGTTAGAGGTTGTTTATGCTTAATCTCTCTTGCTTTATGTTCTTAACTAGAAATCTCTCTCTTTTGGACAAACCTTAAGGCTACATGACCACTATCCCTGGCTTGTATGTCCATAGGCGATTCTCCACATGGAAGTGATGGAAATCGTTGGAAAAGGTCCACTAAGAGCTCCAATAACTCTTGCTCTCGAAATGGAGTTCATAGGGGTTGGATGGATTAGTTTGAGCAATGATCCTATGGCCTCCAAGGCTTGATTCTCACTGGCTAACCCCCTGTTTCTGAGATCAAGTCTTGGTTGATAGCTTTCACCTTGGGAAAGGGTTAGCTAGGCATTGAGAAGCTCAATATCAAGAGATAGCTTGAGTACAAGTTGTTTAAGAGCAAGACTGATTAAGTATAGCCTCCCTTTAGCTGCAAAACCCTGTCTTTAACCCTAATCTTCGCATTAGCATCTTAAAGTTTGCACCTTTATTGCTTTTCATTCGCTTTCCTCTGTTTTTACACCAACTCGACCCTCAACTCGATCGAGAGCTCTTGGTCGAGCTGCTTTTATTTACTGCTTTTGCTTGCATTTCATTTCATATTAGGTTGTTTAGTTGTTACATCCCTCCATTTAATCATTTGGCTTGACTTTCTTGTGTTTGCATATTCTCATAGAGCAACATCTCACCCTTATGGATTGATAACCTCTTATACTTCAATGACTATGATGGTTAAGAGGAATTGATTGATTGTGATTGCACCATACCATCTCATCTCTATTCACCCTGTTTGCATTCCACCTCATTTCATATCATCCTTCATTCATATCATATCACACCCACACACAAATCCTATCATCAGCCATCATGTTCTTGAGTTCAGTCATTTGAAAAGAATCAGGGGAGCTAGTAGTGGTGCGGCTTGAGCGGTCATAATCAGGACAATTGTTACAATCACTAGCTGCAAGATTCTCAATAAGAACCTTAGCTTCATCAACAGTCTTGGTCATGAAGTTTCCATTGCTTGCAGTGTCCAATGAAAGCTTGTACTTGTGGTCTATGCCACGATAGAAGATGTTCCATAGGTTTCCTTCATTGAAACCATGATTAGGGCAGTCCCTAATGTACTCCTTGAATCGGTCTAGCGCTTCATAGAAAGATTCATTGTTGGCTTGGCGAAAGTTGGAGATCTTGTTCCTTACAGAAATCGATCTCTGCTTGGTGTAGAAGTGGTTGATGAAAGCGGCTTTGTACTCATCCCAAGTGGTAATGGAGTGAGCTGGCAGAGACTTCAACCATCTTGAAGCTTTGTCGCTGATGTACTTGCATTTTGCATAGTTTTAGTACATCTTTTATGCATCTTTTGCATAGTTTTAGCATCCATTAGCATCATATCTTGTTCCTTTTCTCTTCTTATGCATTCATAGTAGTTTTAGGTTGCATTTGCATACATATGCATGTTTGATCCTTTGAAATAGGTCTTTTGGAGCATTCTGGAGCATATGGGACGTGAGGAGCAAAGGGACTTGGCACATGGACGCAGCTCAACTGGATACGCAAAGGAAGAAGGAGGAAGCCATCTTGAAGACCAGCTCGACCATCTACTCGACCAACCGGTCGAGTTCCTCAACTCGACCGGCCAAGCTTCAACTCGATCGAGCTGAGAAGTCAAAGTCAAACCCGAAAAATGTTGCTTCCCCCTTGACTTTCCTTTGACCCTAAACCTAAATCCTCTTGTATTTAAAGGCTAAAAGCCACGAAAAAACCACCAAGCTTTAGATTACTTTTGTTTTAGCTTCTTTTAATTTATTGTCTTTTACTTTTTAGAGCTCTAATCCCATCTTTGTGTTCTTGAAGCTCTTGCTTCTTGAATCCTAGATCCTGGATAATCTCTTTTGTATTTGCACTTGCTTATTTCAATAAAAGTTGTTTATTTTATCTCCTCTTTCTTATGATGTCTCTTTTATTGCATTTGCTTGTGTTTACATTCATGTGTAGTGAGTAGTTACCCATTAGGGTTTGAGATGGGTAGATTAGGGGATTTTATGCTTAATCCTTCTTGCTTATGTTCTTAATCTAGAAATCTCTCTCTTTTGGACAAACCTTAAGGCTACATGACCACTATCCCCTGGCTTGTATGTCCTAGGCGATTCTCCACATGGAAGTGATGGAAATCGCTTGGAAAAGGTCCACTAAGAGCTCCAATATCTCTTGCTCTAGAAATGAGGTCTAAGGGGTTGGATGGATTAGTTTGAGCAATGATCCTATGGCCTCCAAGGCTTGATTCTCACTGGCTAACCCCCTGTTTCTGAGATCAAGTCCTTGGTTGATAGCTTTCACCTTGGGAAAGGGTTAGCTAGGCATTGAGAAGCTCAATATCAAGAGATACCTTGATACAAGTGTTTAAGAGCAAGATTGATTAAGTATAGCCTTCCTCTGATTGTAAAACCCTGTCTTAGACCCTATTGTCGCATTAGCTTGTTAAAGTCGCTGCCTTTATTGCTTTTTACTTCAACTCGACCCTAAACTCGATCGAGCTCGG